CGGCACGCAGGGCTGAGGAAGAAATCATCTTCCTCACGGGGAAGGAGCAGAGCTGCGGCCCGGCTGTCTGCTCACCCCTCACTGCAGGGCACAGGAGGAGCAAGGGGGACACAGGGGGGCACAGGGGACACAGGGGGACACAGGGGGACACGGGGGGACACAGGGGACACAGGGGACACAGGGGGGCACAGGGGACACAGGGGGGCACAGGGGACACAGGGGGGCACAGGGGACACAGGGGGACACAGGGGACACAGGGGGGCACAGGGGACACAGGAGGAGCACAGGGGACACAGGGGGGGCACAGGAGGACAGAGGTGCTGCTATGAACAGGGCCAGGAGAGCAGCTCCTTTGTAAAAGGCCTCCAGTGCCGCAGGTGTTGACACCCCCATGGGTCCCCATGGGCCTGGGGACATGGGGGGACAGGCTGGGGCTGGCCCTGGGGCTGGCCTGGGAGAGGCTCCCACTCGTTCCCTTGCCCCAGTGAGATGCTGGCTTTTCATCTGCAAACGGCTCCGCAGAGGTTGGGAGCCTCTTGGGAAGCTACAACCTGCCGTGCTGGAAGGGAAAGCTTCCAAACTCAGCCCTGAAAAGTGCTGACAGAGCTGGGCCGTCCCCATGGCACGCTCTGATCCAGAGACAGGGCTCTTGGCGCTGGCTCCGTTCCTAAAAGATGCTCCCGTGTGTGTGTGCCTGGCTCCAGCCACGCTGAGGCTTCTGCTGAGCCAGGCCACAGCCCTTCCTCCAGGAACTGCGCTGGGTGTGGGGCTGCAGCCCTGCTCCGGGAAAGAAAAATTAAAGGAAGTGGCAGAACAGAGCTGGGATTCCTTGGCTGCAGTGGGGATCCCAGGGCTTAGCCCTGTGTTCTGTGAGCTGCTCCGAGTGCCAGGGCTGTGTGTCCCTGTGCTGGGCCTGGGGAGCAAGGGCTGCCCCTGGTGCTGGGGTCGTGCTGCTGCTCATCCTTGTTCCCTTCCTGCCTCACGAGGTTACCTGTGTGAGTGGCTCAGGTGAGCGTTGGCTCATTGCAGCTCCCCAAAGGTGGGCACGGGGGTACTGCAGGAGCCTGTCCCAGCCCTGGGGTGTCCCCGAGCTCGGTGCCTCACACCCTCCCTGTCGTGTCTCTGCAGGGGATGTGCTCTTCCAGATGGCAGAGGTGCACAGGCAGATCCAGAACCAGCTGGAGGAGATGGTGAGTGCCCAGCCTGCCGTGCCGGGGTCCCTGTGGGTGGAAAATGCTCTTCTGTGCCTTGTCCAGATGACACCAGCCCCTCTGCCGTGGATTTGCTAAGCTCTAAAGGGTCTGCATTGCTTGGGCATCCTCTTCAGCCCTGCTGGGCTCTCTCTGAGCGTGTCCCTCGCTGCTCTCAGCCTGTGCAGCCCTGCTCTGGTGCCCTCCCCGGTGCCATCTGCTGCTCCCCAGGCGGGCTCTGCCAGTCCTCCCCAAGCACTTTGTGTTTTCTTCCTCCCTGCAGCTCAAGTCCTTCCACAACGAGCTCCTGACGCAGCTGGAGCAGAAGGTGGAGCTGGACTCCCGGTACCTGAGTGTGAGTTACGTGTGTGTGAGTCTGGCACAACCCTGGGTTCAGGGCTCCCTGGCTCTCCCCCATCACCTGCTCCCTGCTGGGGATGTCACCTGTCCCTGGTTCCAGACGGGTCCCCGGTGTCACCCACGCACAGGACAGCCCCGGGCTTTGGGGATCCCGCTTTCCCAGGGGCTCTGCTTGTTTCTGTCCCTCCTCAGCAGCAGCCAAAGCTCAGAACTGTCTCCTGTCACATCCAGGCTGCGCTGAAGAAGTACCAGACAGAGCAGAGGAGCAAGGGGGACTCCCTGGACAAGTGCCAGGCAGAGCTGAAGAAACTTCGCAAGAAGAGCCAGGGCAGCAAGAACCCGCAGAAATACTCGGACAAGGAGCTGCAGGTAGGAGCCCAGGCTGGGGACACAGGGGGTGCTGACCCTGCTCCATCCTGCCTTGGGAACAGCCCCAGTGGATGGGTCATTCCTGCCTGTGGAACACCAGGAAGGTGTTTTCTTGTGTATTTTATGTGCTGGGAGGTGCTAGGGCAGGGCTGGAAGTGCTGGGGCAGAGCTGGAAGTGCTGGGGCAGGGCTGGAAGTGCTGGGGCAGGGCTGGAAGTGCTGGGGCAGGGCTGGAAGTGCTGGAGCAGGGCTGGAAGTGCTGGGGCAGGGCTGGAAGTGCTGGGGCAGGGCTGGAAGTGCTGGGGCAGGGCTGGAAGTGCTGGGGCAGGGCTGGAAGTGCTGGGGCAGGGCTGGAAGTGCTGGGGCAGGGCTGGAAGTGCTGGGGCAGGGCTGGAAGTGCTGGGGCAGGGCTGGAAGTGCTGGGGCAGGGCTGGAAGTGCTGGGGCAGGGCTGGAAGTGCTGGGGCAGGGCTGGAAGTGCTGGAGCAGGGCTGGAAGTGCTGGAGCAGGGCTGGGAGGTGCCAGCACACTCCTCAGTGTCCAGCCCGCTGTGCTGGGGGCTCTGCTGTGCTCAGCCTAAACCACTTCTGAGCGTGGTGTCCCCACAAGTCCCGGCACTGAAATTGCTGCTGAGTGAGAAGAGCCCTGTCAGGCCCGAGCCCAGCGTGGGGAACACGGGGATCAGAGCCCTGTCACCCCTCCTGCAGGAGCTGGGACAGCAGAAGGGAGCTGCTGCCAGAGGCAGCCCTGTGCTGCCAGGCCTGGGGCAGGGATCCCACAGCACGAGGAGGAGGAGGAGGAGGAGGAGGAGGAGGAGGAGGAAGGAATCCACCCCAGCTGGGTGGGCTGAGCCTCCTGCTGTGGTGTGGCAGGGATGGGGCAGCCCTGTCAGCACAGCTCTGCGGGCAGGGAAACAGGATCAGACGCTCATTCCCTTTAATCTTTCAGCAGTAAAAGTATTTAGGAAGTGCTTATCTCCGAAAAAGCCTTATGATGGCTTTGGAGCTTACAGAGCTATGAGACCCTTCCAACTCTGATATTCTGTGATTCCTCTGTGTGCCTGCTCTGCTGCGCTCGGCGGGGGCTGGCTTTGCCTTAGATCTCAACACAAAGCTGAAATTGCTGAATGCAGCCAAGAGGGCACTTCTCCTCTCTTCTCTGCTGACTGCAGAGCTGGTGTTTCCTCAGCAGAAAAAAAAGGGGTTGGGGCCACTCCTGGACACTGCTTTCACCTCTGCCTGGGCACTGGAGACAGGGGGATTGCAGCGAGCAGGGTCCAGCCCGGAGCTGTGTGGGTGTTGGTGCTGGCCTGAGGAGAGAGCCTTGTTCAGGCCTTTGGGAGCTGAAACTGGGCTTTGGGGAGCTGAAACCAAGTTTGAGTGGATCGGGAGCACCTACAGAGCTTTGTGGGGCTTTGCTTTCCTCAGCCTGGTTAAAGCAGAGCCACTGGTTTGTTGAGCTGGCCCAAAGCCACCCCTGTGGCCACTTGCCAAACCTCTGGTGGTCTCCTCGGAGCTGCTGAAGCACCTGGGGAGGGTTTTGGGATGCTGACGGCTGAGCCAGGCTGGTGCCTGGGGACCACAGACCCACCAGCCAGGGCTGCCTGGAGTCTCCTAATGGGCTGTGGCTGCTTCCTTCTCTCCTCGTGGGAGAAGCTGCTGTTGATGGAAGTGTCACCTCCTTGGAGGCAGCAATAACATCTTGCTCTTCTGAAGGCTCGTGCCCGTGCAGCTGCTGGAGCAGCCGCCAGCCGTGAGTCTGATGCTCTGTCATCATCTTCCTTCATATTTAATGCTCTGGGAAGCAGAACTGCTCCTTTCTGCCTCTTCACCACTTGTGGAGTGACCACATCCTGTCATCACCTGCCAGGAGATGGGTGGGTGAGACACGTGGTGGCAGCAGCAGGACTGTCCTGCAGGGACCTGCGGGTTTATGTAACATTTGTCAGAGTGAGAGCAGGTCTGGGGCTGCCCAGGCTCTGGTTTTGGCAGAGGACAGCCCTTGTCTGGGCGAGGGCACCAGCGTGGCTGTGTTTCCACGCTGCTAAATCAATCAGAGAGCGCAGTTTAACATCTCACCTGTTTAATTCAGCTGTTCCCACCTTAATAAAGCAGAAATAAATCCTGGAGCTCAGCAGGAACTGCACACAGCAGTGGCTGGGGAGCAGGGGGTTGAGGGGGTGTGATGCAGGAGGCTTCTCCTGAGCTGCACCAGCCCCTCGTTGCACGGACAGAGCCGGGCCAGCCTTGTCTGCACGTCCCACCTCACCTGGCCGCTGTCTCGTGCTGGTTTTGTGGAGTTTTCCAGACGAGTGCTGCAGCATGAAGTGGCTGAGGAGTTCAGACACCTCGTGGTGTGCGGCCCAGACGACTCACGTGGCTCTAAACCAGCTCCAAGTGGCAGCAGGCTGCAGGAGTGACGTGCCAGCTCCCAAGCCCTGTCTGTCATGGTCAGCACGCTGTGGTTGGGGGTTGTTGCTGCTGAGTGTCACACTAAGCCAGGCTTTTATTCCTTGTGAATCAGTCCCGAGCTGCTGTTCCACACAAGGAGTGAGGGCTGAGAGCCTCACGTGGCTCATCTTCCCCGTGGAGTGACTGAGATGGGGCTTGACCCGTGCTGAAAACCGGGAGAACAAACCAATTCCTTTCACTTCACATCTCTGATGAAGAAGAATGAAAACAATATTAAGATTAAGCAATCACCAAGGAAGCTCAAGTGCTGTAATTCCATTAAAGGCTGGTTGTGATCAGGCCGTGAAATCAAGGTCATGATGGGTTTGGGACCTGGATTGAATCAGCAGCTCAGCAATGAAGTTATGTTGGTTCAAAGTATTTATCAAATCATATTAGTGCTGTAAGCAATTGGATTTCTGCATCGGGCTGAGACAAAACTGGCTGTAATTCAGCCTAAACAGCAATGCTGGGGCTGGCTGTTTGTCCTGAAAGGCTGTGCCTGACCCAGGTGACAGTGGGTGACCCTGGCTGGGCAGTGGGGGCCGAGCTCTGCCTTCACCCTCCCCTGCTCCCATGGGAATGTTCTGAGCATTAAACACCACTGTGCCAAATGACCTGTGGGGTTTTATAGACTTTTGTCATTGAAACCTCATTTGGGTATTCCCATCAGGAGAAATAATTTTAGGTGTAGGTCGTCAGGAAGCTCCAAATGACACGGAGCTCGCACAAACCAGGTTAGGAGGTTTGTGTGAAAGTCAAACAGGGGAGGACTCAAAGCTCAGCAGCTCCAGGTGACTCTCTCCAGGTTTGACTGGGATTTAGGCTGAGGGAGGACGTGCCCAAACCCAGCAAGGGAAGAGGAGCCCCTTTCAGTATCTAAAGAGGCTCCAAGAGAGCTGGAGAGGAACTTTGGACAAGGTCTGCAGTGCCAGGACAGGGGAATGGCTTCCTACTGCCAGAGGGCAGGGTTAGATGGGATACTGGGGAGAAATCCTTCCCTGTGAGGGGGTGAGGCCCTGGCACAGGGTGCCCAGAGGAGCTGTGGCTGCCCCTGGATCCCTGGAAGTGTTCCTGGAAGTGGCTGTGCAGCTCAGGGCTGTGAATTCTGTGCCTGGAGCTGCTGCTCTGGGGTGCTCTGTATTGAGGGAACGTTTCAGGCAGGAGAAGGGGAAGCGCCTGCAGAGCCGGCTGGAGCCAGCTCTCCTGCTGCTCTGCTCTCTGGATTTTATGTAACAGCACATGTGTGTGCAGGGCAGGGCTGGGGCTGCTGCAGATGTGACCATAACGAGGGGAGACAGCCCTTCCCGGGGGAGGAAGGCAGCCTGGCGTCCCTGGAGCGCCAGGGCTCTCGGGGTTGGCTCCCCAGGATCCGCTCTGCCTTTCCCATCGCCTCGGATAACCATCAGCAGCCGTGCCCCAGCATCCCCACGCAGCTCTGGCTGGAGCAGGCTGCTGGGCAGCACATCAGGGGCCAGGGCCTCCCCTTGTCCTGGTGCTGTGCAGGGCAGGGCGAGGCTGTGCCCTCCCTGGGGCTCTGCTGGGCCTGTGTGCTTCCAGGGCTTTGCAGGGTCAGTGTCCCACACAAGGTGAGCAGCAGTGGCCATCCCTTGCTGTGGGGCTGTTGTTTGATTTGCCATATTACAGGAGAGCCTGGCTCAGGGCTCATCCCGAGCTCTGCTCTCCTTCCCGGCTCTGGAAGAGCCTCGGATATCCCCGGGCCGGGATCCAGCATCGCCGTGCCAGCCTCGGTGACACACTTGGGTCCTGTGTGGGGCTGCAGAGCCGGGAGGGGACACTGCCTCCCCCGAGGCTGCTCCAGGGTCTGCCAGCTGCCTCGCAAGGAGCAATTTCTGGGAATGAGGAAAAGCTGTCGGGGCTGAGGATCCCTGGCTGCTTGCTCTGCTCGTTTTGCCTCTGTGCTGTGGTGGGGTTCCAGCAGGTTTGCCTTGAGTCTGTTCAGATGCTCTTTCCCTGCTATTCAACCTAACTCCTTTTTTATCTTATCCCATTTCCAGCTATTCTCCCTCGTGGCTGCCTAAACAAACCCTCCCTTCTCTCCGTGTTTACTCCTTCCAGGTATTTCAGCATCGACCAGCACAGTCCTCTCTCTTCCCTGACCTTTCCTTTCTCTTTTCCCACTGATCTGTGCCGCTGGTCCTGACCAACCCCAGCTTGGGATGGAGATGGAGCTGGAGCTGGCACAGCCGCTCTGCTCTGCATCCCTCCCGGTGCTGGACAGAAGTGTGCCTGCCACGTGCTCCCCTTGGCTTTCTGCTCCCCAAACTCCTGGCTGTGCTGGGACCCCAAGGCAGCTCCTGCCTGCTGGGGGTCCCCTTTGTTCCCTGGGGCTTGGCTCAGCCTGGTCAGTGCCAAACACACTAAGGAGGATCCGTGGCGATGGTTTCTGTGGTGCTCAGCACTGCCCTTGGCTCGTATTGCCCGTGTTCGCACGTTCCTGGCTGGGCTGGAAGCTTTGAGCTCATTTCCCAGCAAGGCTGTGGTTATCAAAGGCTGGAGCTCGGAGCTGCCCCACCTGCGCTGACAGCAGCGTGTGCTCCACACAACTCGGGGCTTGACATTTCTCAGCTGCTCTTTGATCTCCACCCTCCCTGAGCTGTCACCGTGGGGCTGGGGAGGTGGCAGGGCTGTGTGCCCTGGCTTTCTGTGCGGGCTGACAGCGGCTGCTCGAGCTGGGACTTGGCAGCAGCTCCTTCCCTTTTCATCTGCTCGTGTTCCTAATTCTCCGTCTGACCCTCGGGGGGGACTGCCCTTGGCTCTGGAACGGGGACTGGCTCCAGCAGCGCTCGTGTGCCCGGCTCTGGGGGGTCCTGGCTGAGTCCCCACAGCCGGGGGTGCCCCAGGAGCGGGCAGGAGCCCCGGCTGTGCCAGCCCGGCCCCGTGGCACCATCCTGTGCCAAAGCCTGTGCCCGGCGCCGCCGCGCGCTGACACTGCTAATTAGGTCAGCGGCTCCCGGTGAAATGGAAGTGGATGCAGCAGGAGGGGGGGGGTGGCACGGGGGAGTTATTTGAGGCCTCTCCAACCTAGAAACCCAGAAAAGATTTTCTGGAGCTGTTGGGTGGCTCTGGTGTGTGTGCTCTGGCTTCAGGCGCAACCACCACCCTGCCTGCCTCCCTGCCTGCTCCCATCACAAACAGGGTTTCTTTTTCCTGCTTCAAACTGGGAGTTTTATTTAGAAGATTCTTAAAATGTGAAGCTGAAGCTGACAACTTCGATCAAAGTCTCAGTTTACAGTGCAGGGCTTGAGCGGTTTGTGCTTGTCAGTGGGGTCTTGGGGAAGCTGCTGGGCCTGGCAGGGAAGCACCTTCCCCCAGCCTTACAGGGGATCGGGTCATGCCAAGCTGAGAAGAGTGTTTGGCTGTGGTTCAGAGCGTGGGGTGGCTGAGATTTCCCCCATTTCTGGGAAATGGAGACATGAGCAGCAGCTCTGGGGTCCTGGTGGGCACCTGGCTGCAGGTGAAGCCTCACTCCTGGGTGAGGCAGAGCTCCTCCTCGGAGTGTAGTCCCAAGATCTTACTCCATGCTTTGTGTGTTACTTTTCCCCCGTGCATCTGGCATATTTAAGAGGCTTTTTTATTTAAATTTGCCTTTCTGGGCGTTATCTGAAAGCCCACTGTCATTCTGAGCAAACCCAAACTAAAAACCACCTCGTGAACAAGGAGTGTCGCTCGCCATTTTGTGATGGAATAACGTGTAAAATCAAGGCTCTGGATAAATCAATGGCACACGGAGCATATTTACATAAAGTATATAAAGCTCTGAGTACTAAGTTTAGAGCGTGGGCTCTGCGCTCGCGGAGCGGCGTGTTCCGACTGGCTGCGACAAGCCTTTCCTCAGCACAGGAATTAGCAGGAGCCTTGCAAAACCAGCCTGGGAGCAGGGGTGTGAACAAGGCTTGGACCTGCGTATTTAAATCCTGGTGGAAGCTGGAGCTCTCCCGCTGCTAAGATCAGGGTTTCTCCCTGTGTTGTGGTGTCTGGGCTGGAGCCGTGCCTGCCTGGCCCAGGGATGGTGATCCTGCAGGGAATCACGGCTGGATGGGCCTCGTGCTACTGAACCAAATTAGCTGGAGCTTTTCACTCCTCACCTTCTCGTTCTTGATGGCCCAGTTAGTAAATTAAGCAGGATGGGTTTTGGGGATCGGGGTCTGTGCGTGCTCCTGCGCTCCTGCTATTTCAGGTGCTGCCAGGGTTGCGCTTTCCTTCCAGAAATGAGGCTCTGCAGGAGGGGGAGCGTTGTCCTGCCCCTTCCCCCGGGATAGAAACTTCTTGTGGAGCTGCCCGTAGTGCAGACGAGTGTGGGCAGCAGGGCTCGGTCCATCCCAGCACCTGCATAGCCCTGGGAGCTCTGCTGCTCTCCAGACCAGCCCTGGGGCATCCATTCCCCAGCTCCCATCTCCGCTGCCAGGCTGTGATGCCTGGTGCCTCTGGGCTCTGTCCCTGCGCTGTTCCCAGGCTAATAATACCCGGGAGGAGGCGGCGTGCTGCCGTCCCGAGCCCGCTGCGGGAGCGGTGCCTTCCCGAGCGCATCCTCCTCCGGCCGCCCGCATCGCTCCTCCGGGGGCTTGCTGTGCCTGGGGCTGCTGCTGCCTCTTCCCGTGCTGGCACAGCCCCGCTGCTGCCCGGCTTCACAAGTGCCTGCCCTGTATCTTTGCTTCGGGGCGGTGCCAAAACCTCCATCGCTTCCCCTCGTGTGCCCGGTGGCATCAGCTCAGCTCCTTTCGCTGATTTCTCCTCATGACCAAAGGCGTTCGCCCTGGATTTTCTCATTTTGGAGGGAAAAATTCTCTTTGAAACAGGGCTGTTGGTTGCAAACTGGGTTTTTAGTCCATTTCTCGCTGACTCCCTTTCCCTCACGCAGGTTGGTGCAGTGTAGGGAGACCCAAAACCTGCTGGCTTTGGCACGAGCCCTGCGCAGGGTTTTACTGTCAGAGGGTGCTCGGAGCCAGGAGCAGGTCCAGCCCTAAAATAATCCCCCTTTGAAGTCTGGGATGTCACTGAATCTTGTTGCTTTTGTTGGTTTGCTCCATTTTATGTTTCTGCTAATAAATATTGTCGCATGCTAAAAATAACTGATAACCGTGAAGAAGCAGCAAAGCTGCCTTGGGCCCTGAATTTCCAGTTTAATTCCCATCTCAGAGAAGCTTGGGCTGCCTGAAGCAGGTCCAGCCTTCCTGGGCTGGGGGTGTTGTGGCTTTCCAGTGTCCTGGTGCCATCGTCCTAGGGAGGAGAAGGTGGCGAGGAGGTGCCACAGTGTGGGATGGAGGTGCTGCTCTCAGAGCCTCGGTGGCTGCTGCCCCGGTGCCACATCGCAGGGGGAAACCGGGAGTATCCAAAGGGATGAAGGGAGGAGAAGGTGCCGGGTCAGGGAGCTGGGGGCACACGTTCTGTGTTCAGGGAGGCTGGCACAGCCCTGGAGTCCCCTGTGCCACCTTTCTGCCACACAGGGCAAAGCAGCCGGGTTCCCCCAGCCCAGCCCGTGTGCTGCTGCTGTGCCAGCGCTGTGGCACTGTCCTGGCACCGCCTCCGCGCCCCCCGTGCTGAATGCGGCCTGAAGCACTGCTTTAGGGGCACTGGTGGCACCACATGTGGCAGGGTCCCCGTGCCATCCTGCCCGGGCAGCAGGGGACATGCCGGAACCGGTTTGTGCGCTGGCAGAGCCGAGCCGGGGGCTGCGGGGGGCGCCGCCGGTGCCGGGCCACCGGGGCAGCCCCCGGGAGCGCCTCCGAGCCCGGGTGGTGAGCGGGCGGCCGCTGGGTACAGCTCGTCCCGTGCAGCCCACGGCTGAGTCAGCGCCTCTGCGTGGGGGGCTCCGATGAGTAAGGGCGGGCTGGGGGGGCTGTGCAGGCACACGTGTCCCTGTGTGTGTCCCTGTGTGTGTCCCTGTGTGTGTCCCTGTGTCCCTGTGTGTGTCCCTGTGTGTGTCCCTGTGTGTGTCACTCTGTGTGTCCCTGTGTGTGCGTGTCCCTGTGTGTGTCACTCTGTGTGTCCCTGTGTCCCTGTGTGTGTCCCTGTGTCCCTGTGTGTGTCCCTGTGTGTGTCCCATGCCGGGGTCCCTGCCCGCCCCTCTCCGTGGCACCCCCTGCCCCGTGTGCTGGGCAGCGCTGCCGCAGCCCCCTCCCTGCTCCTCTCCCTCTTCCAGTACATCGAAGCCATCAGCAACAAGCAAGGGGAGCTGGAAAACTACGTCTCTGATGGCTACAAGACCGCTCTGACGGAAGAGAGGAGACGGTTCTGCTTCCTGGTAGAGAAACAGTGCGCGGTGGCCAAGAGCGCCATCACCTACCACGCCAAGGTGAGCCAGACCCGGCTTCCCCATCACCGAGTGCTGATCAACAGCTGATCAACAGCCTGATATCCCAAATGTTATCCCAGTGATCAACAGCCTGATATCCCAAATGTTATCCCAGTGATCAACAGCCTGATATCCCAAATGATATCCCAATGATTCTCAGTCTGATATCCCAAATGATATCCCAAATGATATCCCAAATGATATCCCAATGATCCTCAGTCTGATATCCCAAAAGCCACAGCTGCTGCAGCCCCTGCAGCTTTGGGGACCCAGGGAGGGGGTGATGGACCAGCAGGTGACTCCAGGGAAGGTGTCCCAGCAGGAGCAGCTGCTCCAAATCCCTCTTGCCCATGACAACTCCACACCCCTCCTGCCCATGGCTGCCCACATCTCCTGGAGCAGGGCTGGAGCTCCCCTGCCCGCCTGGGAAGCGGCAGCACCTGTGTGAGTCTGGAGCGGGATCCGTCCAGACGCGGGCTGGGAGCGCTGGTGCTGCTCCCGCAGCCTCGTGCTCCCGTTCTGGGTGTTCTCCACCGCCGCCCTCCGTGGCTCACAGCAGCCATCTGTCACCGCCACGCTTGGCGCTGGAGCAGGAGAGGGAGTTGGGATTAGTCAGCTCTGTCCTGGCACATCCACGGATCCACGCTTGGCTTGGCGAGCGTAGTGCAGGAGGGGAAAAACACCCCCCAGGGCTGGCGGTCAGCAGGAATAAACCAAAACCTGCCTGCAGCAGCACACACAGGGTGATTCTGCAGGAGGGACTTTGCAGGTGGCTTATCCAGGGCATGGTGAATGTCCTGCTAAAAACTCCATCCTGCTGCTGCCCGTGGCTCCTGCGGGATGCTCCACAGGATCGTGAGGCTGGAGCCACTTCCTGGTGTTGGGGAATATGCAGGGAGTTTGGAACTGGATTTCGAGGGATTTTCATATGCAGAACCACATTTTGTCTCCAGATGAGGCAGAGCAGAGACATCAGGTCACCCTTGGCTGTACTGGAGTGACCTCAAGGGGGTTGGGACACCTTCCCCCTCTGAGTCACACAACGGGATTCTCCCACATTCTGGGTGAATTAGGACAAGTCTGGCTCCATCTATTTCCCCCTTGGAGCATGGCAGCAGGTGGCTGCCAGTCCTGCAGGCAGGGAGCAGTGGGGCTTGGATGCAGCACAGGGGCCTGGAGGCTGTTGGGGCTGAGCACCCAAGGGAAGCAGCTCATCCCCGGGGATGTGGGGACAGCCTGGAGCACGGCCAAGCTTTCAGGCTGGTTTTATTTCTCTGCTCCACGTGGTGCCCAGCTCCCTGCCCAGCTCCCTACAGCCTGGAGACGCTGCACACAGGCTATCTTAGAATAAACTGGGGAGATGGATTACCTTTTCCTTCCCTCATTCCCATTTTTCATGATATCTTCCTGGCTCTGCTGCCATCAGGGCCTGGAAGCAGGGCGTCCCTGTGTGTTATCTTGCCTGTGCCATGCACAGAGCCATTGATCAGTCCCAGCCCAGCCCCGGATCCATGTGGTGCTGCCCAGGGAGGGGGGACAGACCCTGTGCCCTCACACCTCATTTTGCTCTTGCAGGGGAAGGAGATGCTGACACAGAAGCTGCCGCTGTGGCAGCAATCCTGCTCGGATCCCAACAAGATCCCGGACCGCGCCATACAGCTGATGCAGCAGATGGCTGCCAGCAGCAATGGCACCATTATGCCCAGCCCTCTGTCCACATCCAAGTCCAACCTCATCATCTCTGACCCCATTCCTGGTGCCAAACCTCTCCCTGTCCCCCCGGAGCTGGCACCTTTTGTAGGAGTAAGTATCTCTGTGGTGGAAGCTGACCTGCCCTTCTGAGCAAAGCCGGAGGGACGAGCCCAGGCCGGTGTCACCGCTGTCCTCGGCAAGTTGCCCTTGGATGGACTGTCACCGATGGCAGCGATGGGCAGCTCCGTGCTGTGCCATCCTGGCGTGTGGGAAGGAGCCCGGCCTGGGGACGGGCAGCCTGTCCCAGCCCATCCCAGCAGATCACTGAGCTCTGGCAGAGCAGGGGCTCCCAGCCGCTCTTTGGGGACCCCACGAGCTGGAGCTGCCTGTCCAGGCTGGGCCCCGAGATGTGGGACTGGACCCAGGTACCCCAGTAACTGAGGGAGAGAGGCCTGGAGTGACCTGTGGGATGAAGGACCCATCAGAAGAGGGTGTCCCCCCAGTGTGGGGGCACAAGCTGAGCGTAGAGCTCAGCAGGGAATTGGCAGGTGCAGGGGAGCTCAGAGCAGCAAATGCCATAGAGGTGACCCCGCTGCTGCCCCCAGAGTGGGTGGGAACTGAACCCAGCAGGACGAGGCTCCGCTTTGCCTCTCTCCCCAGAGCTGTGCCCCACTGGGGAGCTGCAGGAGGATGCCCCTGGAGCTGCAGGGGGATGCCCTAATGGAGCCACCCCCGTGTCCCCCTCCCCTCCTCTCTCGTAGCGCATGTCGGCACAGGAGGCCATGCCGGTGATGAACGGAGTGTCGGGCTCTGACAGCGACGGGTACAACCACTGGTCTGAGATGAAGCCAGCACAGCCCAAATCTTTATCTCCTCCCCAGCCTCAGAAGCAGCTGAGTGACTCTTACTCCAATACACTCCCAGTTCGCAAAAACGTGCCACCGAAAAACAGCTACGCCTCAGGTGAGGCCCCAGCCCTGCTGCTGCCGGGGGCCTGGAGCCAGCTCTGCCCACAGGAGAGCTCCTGGGGATGGGGATGGTCACCTGGGGATGGGGATGGTCACCTGGGGATGGGGATGGTCACCTGGGGGATGGGGATGGTCACCGGGGTGCTGCTGCTGGGGGGACAGTGACCGACAGCATCCCCTCGGTGTCAATGCTGCTCGTGCCTCTTGACACCGACGTTAAGAAATGCTGGAGCTGGGCTCTGCCCTGAGGTTTCACAGGATTTCCAGGAGGAAAATCTTGTGGAATTTGGTGCAGGGAACCTGCTGCCCTCGCCATGGCTGGTGGGTGATGCCAAGAGTCTGGTCCCGCTGGTTGAGGGGGAAGGTGTGAGTCACGCTGAAGGTTTTAGTGTGACCCAGACTGAAATAAGGAGGGCTGGGGGCCTGTCCTGTGCATGGGGATGGCCTTGGCATCAAGGATTTGGGGAACCCACTGGTCTCTGTTCCCCCAGCTGAAAACAAGACACTGCCACGCTCCAGCTCCATGGCCGCCGGGCTCGAGAGGAATGGCCGGACGAGGGTGCAGGCGATTTTCTCCCACGCTGCTGGGGATAACAGCACCCTCCTGAGCTTCAAGGAGGGGGATCTCATCACTCTGCTGGTGCCCGAGGCCCGGGATGGCTGGCACTACGGAGAGAGTGAGAAAACCAAAATGTGAGTGTGCTGGGTGTCCTCGGGAGCAGCCTGGTCTGGATCCTCCCCGGACAAACCTGGCTTTGGCTTCATCCTCGGCTTTGCCTTTCAGGAGGGGCTGGTTTCCTTTCTCCTACACACGGGTCCTTGACAATGATGGCAGCGAGCGGGTCCACACCAGGTACGAGCATCGTCTGGGGTGTCCTTGGGATGGGAATTAGGGAATTCTGGTTAGGAATAACAGCAGGGGGTGGTGGCGGTGGTGGTTCTGGCTGGCTTTTGGCCACGAGTGGATGGGGGGGTCTCTGCATGGAGCTGATGCCTCTGCTCTGGGCCCCCAGCCTGCAGCAAGGGAAGAGCAGCAGCACTGGCAACCTCCTGGACAAGGATGACATCTCCATCCCGCCGCCGGACTACGGCATGGCCTCCCAGGCCTTCCCGGCACAGGGCGGCAACACCTTCAAGCAGCGGCCGTACAGCGTGGCCGTGCCCGCCTTCTCCCAGGTGAGCTCCTCCCACGGGACTCTCCCGCTCCGGGGGGACGTTTGAGGAACGGGGGACGCTGGAGCAGATCCCTGGGGGCAGTCGGGGTCTGTGGCTCCCCGTCCCGCCGGGATGTTCCCGGATGCGTGGGGGTGCCGAGGGCGGCTCTCCAACCTCTGTTCGTTGTTTTAGGACTACCTAATGCCCTATGGGTGTGCAATTAAAGACTATTCCAGTGGCCTCTGCCAAGCACCCTCCGCTCACTACAAGCCTTACACTAGGTCGACAGCTGTAAGTCCAACGCTTGCAATGTTTCCTTTGGGATTTATGGAAATTTGGCTGTTTTGTGCCTGGTGATCCACGTGCCTTGCCTGGACCCCTCTCCTGCCGAGCACCTCTCGTGGGGTGAAGCAGGGAGACGATGGATGGGGAGGAACGGGCAAGGCCTGGGGGGCAGTGGCACAAAATGGCCCCGTAAACCCCCAAAGGACAACACTTGCTGACTCCATGGGAGGCTCCCACCAGAAACAGGCTGCTCACAGGCAGCTGGAAGTGTTTTCTCTGGCCAGTTCAAGCCGGTGACAGTCCTGTGGGGACACTGGGGCAGACCCTGGACAGGATTCCAGAGTGTCCAAAGCAAGCCCAGGGCTTCTTGGATAGCAAGCCAGGGAGGATGCACGAGCAGATGGGATCAGCCTAATCCAGGAGCTACTGCTGTAGTGGAGCTCTCCCACCAGAATGAGCCCGGTGGGACGAGCCACACTGGCATCACGTGCTGGCAGATGGGGAGAGGATGAGGAGGGAGAGAGAAGGGCAGTCAGCACCGAGCCTTTGACAGGGCACATCAGCTGGGATCTGATCCTCTCTGCAGGGACTGGGGTGGAAGCACAGCCCCACTTCTTGCTGTTTTGCTGGGGTTTTCCAGCAGGATTTGCTGCTGGGGTTGGTATTTTGTGGCTGGGAGCATTCCTGGGGAGGTGGGAATGTGGGTCTCTGGCTGCTGGTGCATGGCCAGCTCAAAGGCTACAGACTCCCCCTCTTTCCTGGAGTGCTCCCATGTTTGTCATGGAGAGCAGAGCTGCTCCAGTTGTATCCCAGGGCAGGCCCTTGCTCAAGGAGGGATGTCCTTGAGGGATGTCCTTGAGGGATGTTCTCCGGGCCTGGTCCCCATCTGCCCCTTGGTCCCTCCCTCAAAGCCTGCTCAGCACCGGCTAAAGGAGAAAATGGTCCAAAACCCTGTGGGTTTCTGGTGGGAGTGAATACAGGCAACCCCTCTTTCCACAGAACATTTCACTGGTGTCTCTCAGTCGTGCAGTCCCTTCCCAACAGTCTCAGCATCTCAGCATCAGCCAGAGCTCTGTTCCTTGGAGGGGCTGGGCAGAGCAGAGGGACTCTCCCAGCAGTGTCTGCCCAGATAAATTCTACAGAGAGTGGTGCAGCTTCACTCCCTGCTGTCTGAATCCCACTCCAATCATCTCCATACCTCCCTGTCCTCTCCAAATGCATCAGCGCTTGGCCCTGGGTCCTGATGCACTTTGGTTTGTTGGTGTGACCCTCCGGTGGTACCTGAGCAGGCACAGCCCACACGTCCCTCACTGTGCTTCCTCCCCTCCTCTCCACAGGGTCTCGATGACTACGGGACGAGGTCGGTCAGCAGGTAAGATGTCACCTTCCTGTCGCGTTCCCTGCGAGCTGTTGGTGTTGGCTGTGGGTGAAGCCGTGGGGCTGTGTCCCCACAGGGGTCCCTGCGTGGGCTCCCCGGCAGTGCCTGGGATGGGGCCAGGTCTCATCTGTGAGAGTGGGGGGACCCAGGGGGGGCAGGTCCCGGGGCCAGCCTGGTGTCCCCAACCTCGTGCTCCTCCAGAGTCGCGCCTCCCGCGCTCCCCCGGGCTCACGGCGGGACGGTGAAGCCACGGAGAGCCCCCGCTCCGGCACCTCCTCCATCCCCTCTGCCTCGGAGCTGCCCCGTGTCGCTCTCGGGGCTAAGCCCGAGCCCGTGGCTGGGCAGAGCTCGCCCCCGGTCCGTGGTGGGTGCCGCGGTGCCCTGAGGGGAGCTGGCTCCCGGCTCGGTGCTGCCCCGCGGCCACTCTGGCATCTCTGTGCTTTGTTCCGCAGCGGCAGTGGCAGTTTGGTATCAACGGTGTGAGGACACCTGGGCTCGCAGCGGCCCCTTGCTGCTTGGAAGAGCTTTCTGCTTCTTTCCCCCCCTTTTTTTTTTCCTTCCCTTTCGTTTCTCTTTCTCTACTTCTTTTGGATTTGAAACTCTTGTGATCTTCAAGGAAACCATGGTGCTTCTCACCCCTCCCTGGTGTTCACAGTGCCCTTGTTTCTGAAGCCTTTTTGGAGCAGAAACTGCCGCCAGGTCTGTGCTCACAGCCCAGGTGCAGTTGTCACTTAGTGGGACCCGGTGTTTGTCCTCCCGTGTGATGTTAGCGATGCACTGTCCCCCCCAGGGGCCGCGCCGGCCGCCCCGCACGAGCCTGGACCAAACTCCCAGACTGGATCACATATGCATGGCCTCTGGTGTCCGTACTGTTACCGAGCATCCGGGATGCCCGCGCCCGGGATGCCGTTCCCGGAGGGGGAGCAGCGTCCCCGCGCCTCCCCCTCGGCCCGATCCGCTTCCATCCCACCGCGGTGGCTTTGGGAGAAGCGGATGGCACAGAGCTCCCGCCCCGGGGAAAGGGCTGCTCTTCTGGGCTGGGGTCCCGCCGGCCGCGGGAACCCCCCCGGAAGGGTTACTCCTGGTTGTTTTATAAATATATATATATATATATTTTTTGTAGCAAGGTATTGTTACCTCACGTTAGGGCTGGGGCTCCGAGGACTGCTCGCATCCCCAAACCAGGCTTGAGCGAGGCAGCCCCCGCGGGGGGCTCGGCAGTGCCCGGGGGGCTCCCACCCCGCACGGGGGTCCCGCTCCCGCACTAGCCCGGCCGTAGCCCTCCCAGTGCCCGTGGCCGTCTCCACTGCAAAGCTGTTCACGCTTTTTTCTGATGTGATTTTTAAGACCTCTGACATTGCCTGTTTACTGGGACATTGCTGGCAATAGACCCCCGACCCCCCCCCAACCCCGGACCAGTTTTTGGGTTATTTCCTCGCCTACGGGCGCACTGTTCTGAGCCCTTCCTGCATTGATGTCCGAATTTTGCTAAGGATTTTTAACCCAGGATATTTCACGATGAATGACTGAATGTAGAGGGAAAAAAAAAAACCAAAAAAAAACCAAAAAAAACAAACAACAAACCACAAACCCAGCCTAGCAAAGCCTGTGTGGAGATTGTAAAGTGCTGAAAAACCTTTTTTTAAAAGCCAGAGAGAATTGTGCCCTGTACTGAGTTATTGTTTGAATAAAAGTTTTATTTATTGCATTGAGCTGGGCCTCGGTGTCTTTTTCGGCTGCCGTGCCTGCGTGCTGCCCTCACCGCCCGCATCGCCCACCGCGCATTCCCAGCCCGTGTTTTTGTTCCTGCTCCGTCCCTGCGGACGCTGCTCGGCTCTAAACAGCTTCGCTGAGCGGGAGCAGCGACAGCTGCTTTAGGGCCGGCTCCCGTCCGTGTCCCCGAGCATCGCGGAGGTGATGCTGCTGCTGCTGCTGCCGCATGCCGGGGCTCGGCTGCGCTTTCCCGGCGCTGGGAAAGCGGCGATGGCCGGCACGGGGGGAAGGAAGCCGCCCCCTCCCTTCCGCAGCCCCCGCCGTGCCCGGCCGCTGCTCTCCCACAGCTCCCGGCTGGCCGTGCCCTTCCTTCCCCTCCTCGCAGCACCAGAGACTCAATAAACACGACTTTTCCTCCTTTTTCTTCTTTCTTCCTCCTGTTTCCTCTGCCCGCCGGCGCTGCGTGCGGGGTGGCCAGCGGGCTCTCGGGCCGGGTGGCCACCGCCTCGCGGCCTTAAAGCTCTCCTTAACCACGACCTTCTGTTCCCATCAAGCGTCCCGGTGTCCTCCAACCTGCCTTCTGTTTCCCTTGCAGCCCCGATGTTGAAGTGGCCAGGTTTTGAGGTGCCCCTGCCCGTAGTTAGTAAGTGATGCTCTGGGTGCGCTGGCAGCGGGTGACGCCGCGGGGCTGCGCGGGGACGGTGCCACCGCTCTGCTTCCCACTGTCCCCTCCCTGTCACCGCTTGTCCCCGTCCCGCTGGCCGGAGCTCCGGGGCTCCCGGGCTGCCTCTGCTGCTCGCCCCGCTGCCGCGGCTGCGCTTCCCGGGATGCTGAGCTGCTCCTGCGCTTCCCCCGCTGCCCTAACCAGCTCTTTGGTCGCAGGTGTCCGGCGTCCGCCGCTGTCCCCAACCCTCTCCAGGGGCCGGGACACGGCCGCACTAACCGCAAGTTTTTTGAGCAGCTTTTTTTTGTTGTAGGCTCGTCCCAGGAGCCTCCTCGTCCTGGCCCCGGGGACGGGATGCAGGAGTCTCCCCAGGAGTCGAGACCCTCCTCGCTGGCACTGCAGAGCCTGGAGAGCCCCTTCCCCGTTTCTCTTTGATCCATGAGCTGCTTTCCCTGCAGCTGCAGGCTCCAGCCCAGTGGCTCTTCTCTGCCAGTACAGAAATAGTTAAACGAGCCCCGGGTGACTCATCAAAGCAACTTTTCCTCTCCCTCCAGTCCTGAGAATCTATTTTGGCATCCTGGGAGGGAAAGTGATCTAAGCATCTGCATTAATTAGGTGTGAAATTAATTACCCTATTTTTAAGCAAAAGTAATTTTTCTTCTAAGGAAAGAAAAAGCGAACATGGAGAGGTGAGGGATGGCAGAGAGGGGGCCTGGGGCTGACAGTGAGTGCCTGTCCCAGAAGGGTGCAGCTCCCAGCAGCTTCCTTCTACTCTGGGAGATGGCTGGGGACATCCCAAAGCTTCTGGGGACATCCCAAAGCTTCTGAGGACATCCCAAAGCTGCTCAGTCCAGGTGCACGTGGTAACCAGGGCACTTTACCTGAACCCACGTCAGGGTAGCAGGGCTGTGCCCCACGGGGGTGACTGCTCAGTGGCCCAGTGGCGTGGGGGGCTGTGGACATCGCCTCCCCCGGGACAGGAGAATTGTGTGGCTCCCTGGGCAGGGCTGGGGGCGGTGGGCACACGAGACAGAGGGGCTGCAGGGAGGACAGGGGGTGCTTGGGGACTCCCCAGGCAGCCAGAGGGACCCCCAGAGCTGCCCACACCCCCCAGGAATTAACTCCTGCTGGGAGAGGACAGAGGGCACCTCCTGGAGAAGGGGTAAGGATGCTCCCTGTGCCAAGGCAGTCCTTGTACCCTGTCCTGGCCAAGTGACGGTGGCAGCAGGAGGGTGCTGGGGACACCCCAGGTAGGTGAAACCCAAGGTCAGCCTCTCTGGGCTCTGGACTCTGACAAGCTCACCCAGGTGTCCTTAGTCTCCCACACTCTTCCTCTTGGATATTAACTTCTCCAGAGGCAGCACAAGGGCTCTGCAGGGAGCTGCCAGCTCTGCCCCTGGCCAGGAGGTGAAGCCACAGCCCCCTGCTCCAGGGCTGGCTGATCCCACAGTGCTCCCATCTGTGGGAACGGTTTGAGCCCAGCCTCGGAGGAGGCTGGAGCAGCTCCATCAGCCCCGGCCCCCGGTGCCAGCCCCAGCCGTGGGCTGGAGAGCGAGGTAGGACAAATCCCCCTGCAGCAGCGTTCGGCTCATCTCTGACCCACCACGGCTTAGCTGGGAGAGCAGCTGAGGAGCGGGGGCAGCTCAAGGAGCGGGGCAGCTCGGCCGGGGGCTCCGCAAGGCAGAGCTTTTCCACTTTAACCCCTCCCCAAGCGCTGCTGGTCCCGGGGTCTCGCCAGTTGCCGCTCGCCGTGCCGGTGCCCTGTCCTGTCCAGGCCTCCACCCCGTTAACTCTTCCTCCCTCTTCCTCTTCCTCCACAGGAACCCCTTTGCCAACGTCCAGCTGAAGCCAACGGTGACGAACGACCGCTCTGCTCCGCTCATCAGCTGATCCGGGAGCGCTGGCGCCCGCGTGGCACTCGCCACTCCTCATCCTCCTCATCCTCCTCATCCTCATCCTCGCCGCTGCATGTCCAGCTCCCCAGGACTCCATTTTTAGGTGGAATTTATTAATTAATCCTGCTGCTTTGAAAGCCAAAGGCTCAAGCTAGTGCCCTAGATCTCTCTTCTCTAGACTCCCTCGGTGGCAGAGGGTCACGGTGCTGCCATGTCACCTGTCCCCTGCCTGCGCTAAGGTGGCACTTCCCGGAGCCAGAGCAGCCCGGCCCAGGGCCAGGGTGGCTCCCAGGCCCAGCAGCAGCTTGCTGTGGGTGGAGAAACGGGCTCAGCCGGAGGATAACTCCCCATGGGCTCACAGAGCTCCAGTGGGGCAGCAATGGCAGAGAGGACCCTGTCCCCCTGCTCTCCCTGCCCACACGGGAGGGACCCCAGGCCAGGCAGGACACCCCTGCAAGGTGGGGGGCACAGGCAGCTCCCAGGCTCCCAGCAGACCCCAGGTGCCCACCCCAGGCTCCAGGCTGGGACAGGGCAATGGTGCCAGCACTGCAGCCCCCGCTGGGACGGGGTCAGCTCCGCTCCCAGAGCTCCTGCTGCGCCAGGGCTCGGGATACTGTAGGGAATTACGGTACTGCTGTAAAATATAAGCTAGGAAAAAACCACTTGTGGGGGCGAGGGCAGTGTGTGAGTGAGCCTTGGGGTGCTCCTGCTCCCTGCAGACAGGAGCTCCCTTCCGGACCTCTTGCTTGGCTGCTTGCTCTTCCTCTGTTCCTAGGGCTGCATGAGAGAGAGATAGATAGAGATAAATATATACAAATATATATATGCACACTTGCTAAGCTTATTGCCGGGGGTGCCCACGAGCGAGGCGGCTCCCACAGCCCTTCCCGCAGCTCCTGAGTGACCAGGGTCACATCCTTGCTCCAAAAACAGGGAGAAGAGTGTTTCCAGGTGGGAACCGTGTCTCCCATGGCTGAGCGGTTGAACCCAAACAGAGTTTTTTGCTTTTTCTGTTGTATTTCTCCTTTTGCACTTTCTGAGCCCTGGTGCAGCGTGTCCCAGTCCCACTGCCCGGGCAGGGGGTGCTTGGCTGGGCACTTGGCCGGGCACAGAGTGTCCCCAGCCCAGGGGGCTCGGTCCAGCTGGATGTGGTGCCTCATCTCTCCTGTGTCCCCTCTGATGGCTTTCCCAGCTCCACTGCAGGAAAACAGCTTCTCCTGTGGCCGCCCAGGCTCCAGCTCTGCACGAGGCTTCCCTGCTCCATGATGTGCCTCCTCTTCCTCTCCCGTGCCTCCTGCTCCTCTCCCAGGGCTGGAGCAGATGGGTGGGGGCCAGACGGGGCAGGGGCGAGGGAAAGGGGTGGGGCAGGGGATGGGAGAGGGTTGGTGGTCTCAGCCCGGGGTGGGGACAGGCCTGGGGTCCCCTCGGCCACTGCGATGTCCTCTTCCACCCCCGTGCCCCCCAAGCTGCCACCCTGGCTCCAGCCAGCCCCGGGGGCTTCGCGGCACCTCCTGGCTCGGTGGCACCTGGAAGACGTAACCTGAAATAATTTTTTATGAGAAAACATAATTTTTGAGCAATTCAACCTCCCCCAGCCCTCCCTCCTGCAGCGTTTTCCCTGGCCAGAGGCTCCTGCCTGGCCCCGGAGCGTGGCCGGGGCCCTCCCGAGCTGGCTCCATCCTGGGTGCTGGGCAATGATCGGGGCAGGAAACGGCTTAAGATATTTTAAAAACTTTATTATTGGCCCGATGAGATTTGACACACATGCTGGGAGCTGTATGGAAATCAGCACTGATAAAAAATACAGCAATTATGACCCGTATTGAGAAAATAGACCATGTAAGAAGAGCCTTTCTATTAAAAAAGTTACCCAAGCCACAGCTCTGTCCTCATCCGCCCTCCGGAGCCGGGACCTGCGGCACCATAGACCAAACCCGGGGTGTGGGGTGGTGCTGGGGGGTGCAGGGAAGGGGGATCAGGGGGTGGCAGGGTGGGTGGTGTGGGAAGGGAGTCCTGGGAGCATCCCAGTCCTGCATGGGCAGCACCCCTGGGTGCTGCAGCCCAGGGCAGTGCGGGGGGTGGCCCCCCTGTTGTAAAGGGTGAGGAAAAAGTTTGGGGGAATTGGGCTGGGGGGGGGTTACAGGCCAGGTGGGGGGCTTAAATAAAACACTAACTAAGCACTCATTGCTTAGCAAGGAGGAGGAATCAGCAGTGGGGGTATGGGGGGGTGGCACGGCCACCCTGGCGCTGAAGTTGGGGTCCCCCAGGGCCCTGGCTGTGACCTGGGCAGGGGAACAGCCCCTGGCCCCCACAGCAGCCTCCTGAACACCGAGGGTGCTCCAGCTGGGACACAGCCCCAGGGCTGGCCAGGGGAGGAGGGAGAGGGGGGGTGAGGCTGGGGACACCCCTGCCAGCCCCGGGCTGGGACCATGGCGGTGCCAGGCTGGGGTGGGCACGGGCTCATCCCAGGGTCCTGCTGAGTCCAGCCCAGGGTGGGATCATCCTGTGGCACCAGCCCCATGCCACGTGGCTGCTGTCTGTGCAGTGTCCCTCGTCCCCCTACACAGGAGCCAGGACAGGGGCAGGGGCTCAGGGGGGGACATTTCTCACCTCAGGGTTTGGTCTATAGACCCCAAAAGGAACCAGCCCTGAATTCAAGGTTTCGCTCAGCTCCGCTTACTTCTATTTCCTTCCGGAAGCTGGAATTGCACAATTATCCTAAGCCTCGAATGAATTAAAAAAAAAACAAAACAAAACAAAGAAAGAAACAAACAAAAAAAAAAACCCAAAACGGAACAAAGAACCACGAGCGCGCCCCCCTCCCCCCGCTCCCCAATAAGTCTCTTTGGCAGCAATAACTTAAAATCGCATCAATGTGGGTTCAGTCAACAGCAAGTTTTGGTTTTGGGGTGGGGTTGGGGTATTTTAATTTTTGTTTAAATACAAAAATAGTCAGGTTGGCGGCTCCCGGTGGGGGATATTCCCCCCACAACCAGCCAGTGTTGCTCCCCACTCCAATGGACAAGGGTCCCAGCAGTCCTCAGGGTCCCCAGCTGGGACTGATCCCTGCAAACCAAGGGAGGGGAGCTCCAAAGCCATGGGGACCACTCTGGGTAGCCGGTGGCACCCCTGGCACAGGGAGTGACATCCAGAGTGGCAGCAGCCAGTGGCCCCTCGGTCAGGAATGTCATGGAGCGTCTCTGGGGCAGCCATGGGGCAGCTGTGGGACACTGTGGGACACGGTGGGACAGCCAAGCTGCCACAAGGTGCAAGACTGAGCACACGGCACAGGGAGGGGACAGCCCGGGGGAGAAGGGTGTGGGGACAAACCGCCTCGGGGAGCACATGTGGGCAAGAAGCCAAGGGGGAACGTCACTGGGGAGGACACTCCGCAAATGTTAGCAAGGTCAGGGCACTACCCTTGAAACGCTATAATTTATATATATATATGTGTATATATATATATATATAAGTGTGTATTTTACACGCACGCTCACAGCCACCCGCACACGCACGGCCACCACCGTCACCCACCGCCTGGCCCCGCGGGGGCCGCGCCGGCCCCGCTCCCACTCCAAGCAGCAAACGAGTTCCTTCCGATAAAATCTGCCTAAAAACTGCCCAGCGGGGTGTGGGAGCCCACGGGCGGCCCCCGCGCCGGCCCCGCCGTCCTGCGCCGCCCCGGTGCCGGGGCAATGCCGGCTGCGTCCCGGCGGGCTCACTCCCGGTCACCGTCCTCGCTGCTGCCTGCAAGGGGCAGAGACAGCCGTGAGAGGGTCCCGGCCCCCCGCGGGACCCCCGGCCTGACACAGGGGTGACCCTCCCCACGGGGCCCCGTCCCACGGCTCACAGCACTGGGTACCCACAGAGCAGCATCCCGAGGGGGACTCACCTCCTATGGAGTCCATGTCCGAGTCGGAGACGTGGGTGATGGAGAACCGGGACACCGGGGCAGGAGAGACCGTGAACCGGGAGAACTGGATGGGCAGCACCTGTTTCTGCGCCGGCACCAGGGCGGGCACGGCCGCGGGGGGCTCCGCCGGCGTCCCCGGCAGCGAGGCCACCAGGGACGGCTTCACTGGCATCAGAGGGAAGTCATCGTCCCACTCGAAGCCACCGCCTGGGATACAAAGTGAAGGGGCTGAGCCAACTGTGAGAGTTCCACCATAACCTCTGACCCCAGCACCGCCTCCCCACTGTCCCCATGACCCTATAGCTGCCTCCCCACCACCCCACAACCGCAGCCCTCCCACCACCCCACAATCACCAGCCCCACGAGCTCCTGGTCTCTCACTCTCTTCCGAGGCGTTGCCGTCCGAAGAGTCGTCGGAGGCCCCGAGCCTGTCCGTGGGGCTGGGGGGGCTGCCACTGGCAGGCGGCTGCCCCGAAGGCGAGGGGGGCTGCCCCGAAGGCAGGGTGGGCTCTGGGAAGCTCTGCTCAGCCAGCTCCCGTGTGGGGCTTTCCTGGTGATGGGGAAACAGCAGGAAGGAACCTCACTGGGGGCTCGGCTGGAGATGGTTCCCATCACCAAAATGCTGTGGAGCAGTGCCCAGCTCCCGGCTCTGGCCCCCAAGGCACGCACCTGGTCGAAGAGGTAGATGGTCACATCGTCGTAGAAGGAGACGGCCTTTTTCTTGCGCTCCAGGTCCTCGCAGAAGGACTCGGACAGCAGGCTGGGCATCTTGAGGAGGCTGCGCAGGTTCCGGCCGCTCTGGCTCTCGGCCACCACGATGGGCACGGCCGCCGGCTCCTCCTCGCTCTCCTCGCTCTGCTCCTGGATGTTGTAGCAGCGCAGCTCCTCATCCGACTCGTCGCTGTCTTCCGTGTCCTCCTCCTCCTCCTCCGGCTCCTCGCGGCGCTCGGGGGCAGACGGGGGCGGGGAGAGCCCCGGCCGCAATTCGCCCCCAGGTAGCAGCGTGCTGGGACCCCCCGGAGCATCGCCCGCCCCAGTCCCCTCCAGGGGCAGCCCCAGCTCCCCAAGCGCGGGGGTCACAGTCAGTTTGTCCCCCACGGTGGCTCCCCCAAGTCCAGGGGCGCCCTGGGGCACGCAGGTGCCTCCAACACCTGATGGCTCCCCAGGGCTCACCGGCACCGGGGTCAAGAGGAAAGTCTTGGGGGTCACGGAGCCCGGGGGACAGGTGTCCGTGTCAGGGCGCGGGGGGCTGCCCGGCACCAGCCCCGTGCCAGCGGGGCTCTGCTCGGTGCCAGGTGCCCGCTCCCGTGAGCTCCCGGCCTCCGTCCCCACCCAGATCCCCTCCAAAGCCGCCGCCGCCGGTGCGGGCACCGCCACCGCCGCGCCAGGCGCTGCCGGGGGGCTGCCGGGAGCCCCCGGCGGGTGCAGCGGGTCCTCTCCTCGCCCTATGTCCTGCGCAGGGCAGCGGGGACCCTCCTCTGCCTCCGGGGTGCGGGACCCATCGCTGTCCCCCTCGTCCTTGTGGCCGCGCTCGGCCTCGGCGTCGCAGTCGGAGAAGTAGGCAGAGTCACGGTAGGGGCTCTTCTCGGCCAGCCCGGGCGGCTCGGCCCCCGGGCCACTGGGCAGCCGCGTTTCAGGGGCCGCAGCCTCGCCCTCGCCCCCCGGCAGTCCCGGGGGCGGCTTCCCCAGCTGTCCGAAGGCCTCGGGCTCCCGGGGCTCGTGGGGCTCCTTAAGGACGAACTCGGGGGACTCGTTGTTCTCGGTGTCGTAGCCGCTGTCGAGGGCCCGGGCTTGGCCGGCGGGCGCGAAGGCTCCGGGGCTGAGCACCTCACAGGAGCTGCCCGTGGAGGGGATGTCCAGCGACTCCAGCGAGTCCGGCGTCCCCACCTGCTTCTGCAGGGACCTGAGCGCGGGGGCCGCCTCCGCCCGCTCCGTGTATTCCCCGGAGAAGTCGGTGAAGACGCCGGAGGTCAGCTCGGCCGTGTCCTCGTCGCTGCCCTCGTCCGCGCTGGGGAAGCTGCTGCTGGAGAAGGTCTTGTCCGGAGTCCGGTCGGCGTCGGCAGCGGCACAGGCGCCGCTCTCGGCCGCGGCCTCGGCGAGGGCCTCGGCGGGCTCCGGTACGGGCTGGGCTCCGTCCGCGCCGGGCTCGCCGGGGGGGCCGGGGCTCGGGGCGGCCGTGCCAGCCCCGGGGGGAGCGGCCTCCCCCGGCCCCGCGGCGGCGGGGGGCAGCGGGCTGCGGGCAGGGCTTTCCCCGGCCGAGCTCTCCTCGGGGTGGGCATCGCGCGGGGCCCCCGGCGCAGGTGGCGGGGCCGCGGCGGGGCCCCGGGGCGCGGCGGGGCTCTCCGCCAGCGTGCCGGGCTGCGCGGGGCCGCAGGGTGATGAGTCACGGCCGTGCCAGGCCTGCCGCCGCGGGGAGGGCGAGCGGCACGGGGA